GACAGAAATTAAGCTTTGTCATTTGTTTTCACAGGCAAATAAATTTGTACATCAGCCACATAACAGTGGAAGGAGATATTGTGCTTTCTCAAAATATACCCCAAGGACATCATATACAAAGAAAACAACATAGGGCCCAATATTGACCCTTGGGGGACGCCACAAAAAAGAGGGGCAGCAGATGAAGAAAATTCACCAAGATGAACAGAAAAACTTCTGTCTGTCAAATACGACTGAAACCATGTAAGGGCTATGCCCTTAATGCCGACACACTGTTCAAGTCTAGATAAAACAATTGAGTGGTTGACCGTATCAAAGGCCACAGTCAAATCCAAAAGGACTAAATCAGCAGAGTTACCAGAGTCCACAGTTAAAAGAAGATCATTAGAAACTCTTAAAAGAGCAGTTTCTGTACTGTGACAGGGCTTAAAACCAGACTGAAATTTTTCATAAATACTAAATTCATCAATAAATAATGGAAGCTGATTAAAAACAACTCTCTCCAAAACTTTCGATAAAAAGGGGAGTTTAGATATAGGTCTAAAATTAGACAAAATTCAAGGATCCAAGTTACTCTTTTTTAGAAGCGGTTGTAAACGACTGCCAATTTTTTAAACCGAATATATGAAGTCTGCGTTGACCCTTTTGTACGGAGCAGCTAAAGGACTTTTATTTTGAAATGAACAACACGCCAATCGGACTGTATAAAGCGCGACCCATTTCCGCCAGTTGGATGTGTGTGTGCACGCTTTGTGAAGGACGCAACCTGCAGTTTGTGGCGTTTTACTCCTCCTCTTATTGTACTTGTGCATCTCACTGAAAAGGGTAATAAGGTAAATGATTTTGTACATTGTATGATGCGTAATGTAATGTCAGGTTTCGTATTTGGTTTATTTATTGTTTGTTTCTGTTTTGTTTTGTGTGTTCGTAGATCTTGTGTCTACTTGAATGTCAACGTATTAAACATTTTCGGAAACATCAGTTAAGGAGCATTGACCATCATTTCAGTGGGGTAGCAACAGCGGTTGCACGATGGCATGTTTAAAAACAGCTGGAACACATCCTGAGCTGAGAGATGTATTAACCAAAGATACAACGCTTGGCCCAACAGTGTCAAAGACATCTTTAACTAAGCGTGCAGGAATACTGTCAAGGAGGCAGTTTGCAGGACGTAGCTGTTCAACTATGTCAGAAAGATAGGAGAATGTAACGGGCTCAAACTGCTGAAAGACAGGCAAAAAGAGAAATCAAGAGAGTCACTGATAACCGTGATGGGTGGAAAACTAAGACCAGCAATTTTGTCCACAAAATATTTCAGAAAGTTTTCACATAATATTAAAGATGGCACAATACAATCTGAATCACATGGGTTAACAAGAGAGTTAAAAACATTAAAAATAACCTGAGGCCGCTGGCTGTTACTGGCTACAAGGTCGGAAAAAAGCACAGGTAGAAATCTCCAAATTGGGAACAACCACAGTAGATAAAACAGGCAGGTGATCTGAAATACATGTCACATATTTCACTGATAGTAATACATAAACCATACGACAACACAAGGTCCAAAGTATGTCCTTTTTCATGGGTCGGACCAGTGACTTGACTGCGTGAGATTAAACGAATCAATTAGACTGAGAAAATCAGAGGTTTGGATTCACAGCACACATGTATGTTAAAGTCACCAATAATTAAAAAGCGATGATATTTCAATGCAATCCCCGCCACAAAGTCTGCAAAGTCCTGAACAAAATTCTTATTATACTTTGAAGGTCGATATACCACCGCACATAACACAGTCGCGGGAAAATTTGTCTCATAAAGCTGCAATTCAAAACTGTTGCAGGCGTCGACCGCGACCTCCCGACAGTGAAAAACTGATTTAAATACAGAAGCCAGCCCTCCACCTGTACCGGTGGTCCGAGGGGAGCTTAGAAAGTCACAGCGGGGAGGAAGTAGTTGAGAGAAAGAAGCCAACTCACCAGCATAAAGCCAGGTTTCTGTCAAAAACATGAAATCCAGCTTACGTGAAGTGAAAAAATCTTCAGCAAAAAAGTCTTGTTAGCTAGCGATCTAGCATTAATCAGAGCCAAACAAAGAGTGGAATCCTCACTGGCCGATGGCGACACACGGTTCAGCGGGCGAAGGTTCGAAGAATCCACACCACCTCTGCGGACCCAAACCCACATAGGAAGAGATGACACAGTCGACAGGTCAGCCTCGGAAGTCACCGTCGAGCTGGGGAAGACCGGATGGAGCCACCGGCCTCTCATTTCCAGCGAACGCTGGGCAGCTGGAACGTAACATCCATCGTGAGGACACATTACACATGTGGACACCAGGTAAGCCTTGAATCTAACCAGGACACCTCCGCGCCTCCCCCGTCGTCTCCAAAGCTTCTTGCGAGGAATAACGCATGGTGATCGGTGTAAAAATGCCGGTATATCTGCCAGGAAGGGTGGAAGGCCCGTAGTTTGATGGTTTCCAAACACATATCTTCCAGACTGTATCTTTAGAAGCTCTAATATTATAAAGTGTTTGGCGATCATAGACGAGCAAGGCAGAGACATCTCGACAGCATATACAAATAAATAAATCGATCGCAAACAACAAACTGAGCAGACAACACGGAGACAGACGGCATGCCATGGACACTAGCGCCATCTTTTTTGGGGAATAATATGTGCAAAGATAGAGCTTTGGAGGTGTTCCATGGCATTGAGAGAGGATGGCTTTGATTCCTGTGTTAGAGGGTCTGGATGGCATTCTTCCATCAACTTAATGTGAACGTCAGCCTCACCTCAGGGTATCACCCACAGTACAGTAGCCAAACTGAATGCCTTAACCAAGAGCTCACACATTTCCTCAGGATGTACTGCCATCTGAATCAGACAGATTGGAGCAGGTATCTAGTCTGGGCTGAATATGCTCAACTCTCCAAAAACCTTCCACTGGCCTGTACCCCTTTTCAGTGTTCTGGGATTTCAACCCACTGTATTACATTGGTCGGCTTTGTCAGAGTGAAGCAGTTTGGGACCAGGCTCATGTCTTTCTCCAACAGGCAGTGAGGAGACTAAAGGTACAAGCTGGCCAGCACCAATGTCCCAGCCCCAAATGTGTGCCAGCCCAATGGGTTTGGTTTTCCACCTGGGATCTTTGCCTTTATCTACCCTGCTATAAACTCAGTCCCAGGTATGTGAGTCTGTAACAACATTCATAGATCGGGAAGGAGGAGGCGAGAACCGTTGAACATTTAAAAACAAAACTTTAATAAACAAATGAACAAACACAAAACTAAAGTAAAATTGACAGCCCCTCACGGACGACTGCCGCATAAAACATAATACGGCAACATAAATAGTCCAGGCCTGGTCCTCTCTCGTCTTTCACTGTCGTCACTCCTCCTTTTATCCTTCTGGAGCTCCTCCGTGGGACTTGAGACCGGTGAGTGGCGCAGGTGTCGCTCATTATCATTTACTCCACCGGCCTCACTCCGCTCCCATGGCTCTCGGCCCCACCCTACTCGTCACATAGCCCCATCGCCCCTCGCAGGCCGGGGGGTACTCACGAGACTGCGCTCTACTAGCACAGCAGTGAGCCCTCCGTCCCACTTCGTCTTCCATCGTTCCAGCACCACCGCCTTGGGCAGCCACTGGCGGTCTCCGCTCCTTCATGCTGCCCGACCTTCTCAGCTCCGCTATCCCCCTCACCAGCGAGGGCTCTCTGACAGCGTGTCCCTCTTTCCTCCCGGGTTTCAGCACCAATGTAACAAGATCGTTTATAGATCGGGAAGAATGAGGCGGGAACCAGTGAACATTTAAACACAAAACTTTAATAAATGAATGAACACAAAATGAAAGTAAAAGTGGCAGCCCCTCACAGATGACTGCTGCATAAAAAACATAACACGGCAACATAAATAGTCCAGGCCTGGTCCTCTCTCCCGTTTCCCGTTCTCCAGTCGCTCTTTACAGACCTCGCTGAACCACGCCCCCCTTCGCCACAGAGTCCCTTCAAAATTCTGAGACAAATCACCCCTGTATCTCATCACCTACAGCTACTTTCGTATTTCTCCTTCTTGTGGATGGCTTATCGAGTAGGATAACTCCTGCACTCCAGACGTCGAGATGCCTACTTTAGTATCTTGTGGACTGGGAGGGGTATGGTCTGGAAGAACGGTCCCGGATCAATACAGAGGACATCCTCGACCCCACACTCATCACTGAATTGTTGCTGTGTTTTGACACTTGGATTGTTTTTCTTGTTCACAACTCATTGACACCTGCCTTGTTTGCATGGATATTTACGTGGTACATTTACATGGTTGTTTTCTGCATTGCTAACACACCTGTTTTTAATTACCTGTACTATTTAGGCACAGAACTCACTAGACTCAGTTCGAAATCTTGTTTTGCCCTGGCTGATCATTTTTAAGCATTTATTTCCACTGTTTATCGTTGCTGTGTTTTGACCATTGATTGTTTTTCTTGTTTACAACTGTTTGGCGCCTGCTTTGCTGACTTTGCTTTGCATGGATATTTACCCTGGTTGTTTGCTGCATTTCTCGAACCTGTGCCTGTCTATGACTATGATTATTGTCCTGCCTATCTTACTGATCCTTGCCTGTCTGTTTGTTCTTTTTGTTCTCGCTAATAAAGCTAAATGGATCTCAGTCCTTTGTTCCTCTGAGTCTGCATTACAATATTAGATGAAAAACGAGTCAGGAAAGATGGAAAAAAATAAATCACATTTTGCCAACTGATTGAGAATAAGGTTGTTGAAATAGTAAAATTAGTAAAACTGAAAATAAAAAATAAAGCCAAATAGAAATATATATATATAAAAAAATAATAATAATGACAAAGAAGCAAAAAAACTAAAATGAAAATAAAAGTAAACGCTACTTCAAATTATTATGCATACTATAATAGTATGTACTATAAATGCTGAAATAACAATTGCAATTCACCCATTAACTCTGTGTTTCCACTGTGTTTCCTCAGAGTTTAAAGGAGGAGATGAGCCAAAACGGCAAGGTGATGTTGAACATCAACCAGTGTTTGCAGCAGATCTTTGGGGAGGCCATCAGTACCGCCTACCCTGGCCTAGAGAACGCTCCACTTACGGTCACCCTTAACCAGCAGGCCAAATTTGGTGATTACCAGTGTAATAGTGCCATGCCAATGGCTCAGGTCAGTTTCATTTTCGGGTAAACTCGTCTGTTTCTCCCTTTTTTGTCACTCCAACACGCTTGAATTTCTTTTTTCTGTTGAACACAGAAGGAAATGCTTTGAAGAATGTTGCCTTTTGTCCACTTAAAGTGAATTATTTTTGTGAATGTGTTTGTTTTAAGATGATGAAAGCTAAAGGACAGAAGGTCAGCCCCAGGGAGATAGCAGAGAAAATTGTCCAAAACATTCCCAACAATGAGTTAATTGAGAGAACAGAAATTGCAGGGCCAGGTTTGTTCAGAATATCATAAATACCAAGACCATTTTCTCCCCTACTTTCAAAGATTGATAAATAATCAAGTGCATATTGGATTGTAGGGTTTATCAACGTTCATCTCAAAAGAATGTTTGTCTCTAAACTCCTCTCAAACCTGCTTGTGAATGGAGTGCAGCCTCCATCTTTGAAGAAGAAAAAGAAGGTAGGAGTTTCACTGTAGCGGTAAAATACATCACGGCATAGTGGTATAAACTACAATGCATTTTTATCCAGTGGTCTTTAAGCTCATTTGTGTTTTTTTAGGTTGTTGTGGACTTCTCCTCACCTAACATTGCCAAAGAGATGCATGTGGGTCACCTGCGGTCCACAATTATTGGAGACAGCATGTGTCGACTCTTTGAGTTCCTGGGTAATGAAGTGCTAAGGTTGGTGTATATTATTTGTGGAGCGCAAAAGTGGGGTTTCAGAAATAAAAAGCCAATTTTAATCTCTGTTGTGAGATATATTTTATGAAAACATGAACTCAGTGTTGTTAAAGCAATACTGTAGACCAGGGATCTCCAGTTCTGCTCCTGGAGAGCTACCGTCCTGCAGACTTCAGTTCCAACCTTGCTCCAACACACCTGTCTGTATTATAAAGTAGCCCTGAACACTTTGATTAGCTGGTTCAGGTTTGTTTGATTGGGGTTGGGGCTGAAATCTGCAGGACGGTAGCTCTCCAGGAGTAGGGTTGGAGACCCCTGCTGTAGACTTTAACTCTTTCCCTGCCATTGAGGTAATTTTCCGTCATTTGTAAGACAACACTTCCCAGTAATTGTTTTCACTGGTGCAGGAGGTGCTATTACGCATCTTCTGGATCAAAACATGGTGAAGAAGCAGAAACAAGCGATCGCATACATAAGTAGATGCATATGTAAAATAACGCAATCATCAAACATTAATCATTATATATATAAATAAATTGCATATTTTTCCTATTTAAATTTTTGTTTTAAAAGTATGGTTAAAAACTGGTAAAATGTACCAACAATCACATTGAAAAAATATACACGTTTTGATATACCATTAAAAAAAAAAAAAACAGGTAGCCCATCTGAATTAGGACATTTAGACTATCCATCTAATAGTAGCCTACCAAAATCTTATTAACAGTAGAAGTTAATTCTTACTGTAGTCTTCAAATCTGGGTACTGTCTTACGTTTTAAAATCACAAAGAGAGTTTGGTCCCATCAGGCTAACGTGACAGTCACGACCCATGCAGCTGTAAGGTTTTCTGCTTCTTTTGTTTTTACTCGCGATCTTTACAACACGCATTACATTACGTATTTCATGGCACACTCGTTTTATGCGTATTTGGCGCCACCTATTGTTGTGGGTGTATTATTCACATATCAAAGTCTAGACCCTGAATATAAGACGACCACGTTTTTTCAGATGTATTTCCAAGAAAAAAACATCGTCTTATATTCGGGTCAATACGGTAATGACAGAATTGTAATTTTTGGGTGAACTATCCCTTTAATGACAATCGGCAACATGTTTAGTACTGTTGCTTTAAGAGCTGCACGCATCTGTTTTTCTCTCAACTGTTTACTTTCACTTTAGACATAAGTTAACTAACTGTGTGTATATGTAAACCTTGTGTGTTTTTTAGAGTATTAGCGCAATCAGTCACTAACTAAGATAACCAAGTAATCAGGTGCTGTTCGACCGGCCTTTTAGTGTACGCACCCTTCAGGTGTACGTGCTCTGAATAAGCGCTCGTCAGAACAGCACGCAAATGAAACATTTAACCGGCAAGGTTTTAAAGCACACGCAAATAATGTACTTTTGTAATTGCGAATAAGTGCAGCATCACGTGAGTGTAACTCTACTGCTGAATTAACATTTGATGTGATTGTGTTGCACGAGTTGCAGTTGGAGCTGGAGCCGGAGCCGGGAGACATAGTAAATACAGCGCATTGCTTGAGGTAGATGTTGTGTTTTGTAAGTAAATGTTTCATTGTATTACTAGTGTTGCCTCATTTGTTCACTATTACACTACTGCATATATTGCATCTGACACTGGTGCCGCTTAGTTTTGTAACGTGAGCCCACACTTTCGAACGTTTCACCGCCACTGATTGCACGCAAACACACACAGCACATGTGCATGGATATATCACACACACGTCGAGCAAACGTCGGCCATTCAGTGAAGAAAAATGACAAGCAGCAGCTTCTACTTTGCCATTAACATTGAAGTATTTAGAGATAAAACAACGCAAGTGTCGATAACAGTACCGTTTGTCCCGAAACTTATCGGTAGTCCGGTATTGACCCAATTACGTACCGGTCCAAAAAAATACCGGTTCTCGGTACCCATCCCTAGTCATCATCCAGTTCAGCTCTTTTCCAATAGTGTCTGTGTAATCAGTCAAGCGTCCCCAACTAAGCAAGCCAAAGGCGACAGTGGCAAGGAACCAAAACTCCATCATTGACAGAAATTGAGAAAAAACCTTGGGAGAAACCAGGCTCAGTCAGGGGGCCAGTTCTCCTCTGGCCAGACACACCAGCATGGCGTGGTTTAATTCCAGGCAGCAACACAGGTGCAGAGGACTTGTCTGGTTCCCGTGGTCTTGTGACGATGGTCGGCGAGGTGATGAGGTCTTCACAGGGGGATCTGTCTCTGGGGCGCATCTAGTTGACATGGTCTCCGCTGACATTCAGGGCTGTGACAGATCCACCATCTGACCTGGATATGGACTGAATCCGTATGGCTACGGTGACCTCAGAATAAGAATGAAAGAGACGAATATTAGCGTAGATGGCATTCTTCTTACGATGTAGCAAGTACATTGGGTGTTATGGGAAGTGTTCCCGGTTCCGGTTGACCTAATTATGTAGCCTAACAAGCCTTAACGGATTTGAATGATAGAAATGTGATAGTGTATTATGTGTATGCCAGGTTAAAGAGATGGGTCTTTAATCTAGATTTAAACTGACAGAGTGTGTCTGCCTCCCGAACAACGCTAGGTAGGTTGATCTGCCGCCCGCATTTGATATTGATATTCTAGGTATTATCAAATGGCCAGAGTTTTGAGATCGCAGCGGACGTGAAGGACAATAATGTGATATGAGCTCACTCAAGTACTGAGGAGATAAACCGTTCAGGGCTTTATAAGTAATTAGCAAGATTTTAAAATGTCTTCGTTGTTCAATAGGGAGCCAGTGCAGAGTTGACAGAGTCGGGCTAATATGTTCATAATTCCTGGTTCTAGTAAGAACTCTTAACAGCTGCATTTTAGACCAGCTGGAGTTTGTTTGTTAAGTGCCCAGAGCAACCACCCAATAAAGCATTGCAATAATCTAACCTTGAGGTCTTGAACGCATGAATTAACGTTTCTGCATTTAACATTGAGAGCAGAGGTCATAATTTAGATATATTTTTAAGATGGAAATGTGTGGTTTTACAAATGCTAGAAACATGGTTTTCAAAGGAAAGATTGCTATCAAATAGCACACCTAGGTTCCTAACTGATGACGAAGAATTAACAAAGCAGCCATCAAGTGTTAGACAGTGTTTTAGGTTGTTACATGCGAAGGTTTTTGATCCAATAATTAAAACCTCAGTTTTTTTCCCCCAGAATTTAGCAGTAGGAAATTACTAGTCATCCAGTTTTTTATATCAACTGTGCATTCTGTTAGCTTTGCGAATTTGTATGTTTCGTCGGGCCGTAAAAAAATATAGAGCTGAGTATCATCAGCATAACAGTGAAAGCTGACACCATGTTTCTTGATGATATCTCCCAAGGGTAACATGTAAAGTGTGAAAAGCAACGGTCCTAGTACTGAGCCTTGTGGCACACCATACTGTACTTGTCATCGACATGATATCTCGTCATTCAATGCTACGAATTGATGACGGTCAGATAAGTAAGATTTGAACCATGACAATGCAATTCCACTAATGCCAACATAATTTTGTAGTCTACTCAAAAGAATGTTGTGGTCGATAGTGTCAAACACAGTGCTAAGATCCAGTAGCACTAATAGAGAAATACAACCACAATAGGATAATAAGAGCAGGTCATTTGTAACTCTGATGAGAGCAGTTTCAGTACTATGATTCGGTCTAAATCCTGTCTGGAAATCCTCACAGATACCATTTCTCTAAGAAGGAACATAGCTGAGAGGATACTACCTTCTCTAGTATTTTAGACTGAAAAGGGAGATTTGAGATCAGTCTGTAATTAACTAATTCTCTAGGATCAAGTTGTGTTTTTTTTTTTTTTTTAATGAGAGGCTTAATAACAGCCACTTTGAAGGTTTTGGGGACATATCCTAAAGACATTGACAAATTAATAATATTCAGAAGAGAATCTATGACTTCTGGAAGCACCTTTTTTAGTAGCTTAAATGGAATAGGGTCTAACATACATGTTATAGGTTTTGATGATTTGACAAGTTTATCCATTTCTTACTGTCCTATAGCAGAGAATGAGTGGAATTGTTCCTCAGGGGATCTATAGTGCATTATCTGATGCGATACCACTGCATGGTTAGAATTTTATCTCTAATATTATCAATCTTGGAAGCAGGGCCGCTGCTGGCCAAATGGGTGCCCTAAGCAGAATTGTATTGTTGTGCCCCCTCCGTCAAATATTATGGAAGTAAAAAAAACAAACACCTACTATAGGTGTCAAAATAAAACTTTAATAAAATATGAAAGTAAATTAATTAATTAATTCTATTTAAATTATATTATTTACAAATTACAATTGTAGTTCTAGACAGTTACCTATGGCTATGATTTTATTAATATAGTTGTCTGATTGATTTTATAGTCTCAAGCATTCAAAAATCACGCAAAAGAAAATTAAGCCATTTTACTACAATAAAACCATGGTTAATTTTTGTAAGGGTTGTGATGTCCACATGTTTTTGTTGAAGTAATTATAGAGGCTGTAGCATTTCTATTTCAAAAATGTGGCCAAAAATGAAAATGTTTTTGTTGAAGTAATTATAGAGGCTGTAGCATTTCTATTTCAAAAATGTGGCCATAAATGAAAGATTAAGTGAATATTTGAATTAGCCTAAATGTTTGGTCAATATTAAACCAGGATTTGATCATTCTGTAAGTGTAACAGTAGCAATTACCAGACCTTTGGCTCCCTTTGCAAGCATTTGTAATGTACATAAATCGTTTATTTTGTATTACATTATGTATTTTAACATTGTTTCATTATTTTAACATTGACATGTATCATTATTGCCTCATTGTTTTTATATAATGCATTTTAAGTACTTTTAAAGGCTGTTGTTGGTTTAGGTCTGTTTTTATAACCACAAAACAAAAAAAATCCTAATACTTCTTTGTAAACTATTATTTGAAGTAACAAAACCATGGTTAATTTGTGGTTAACAAGAACCATGATTTTTGGT